TTTCATCACAAATTAACAACATAATCCTGTTATAGTCTGCACTTTCTTTTAGAAGATTTGGACAAAAATAGCCAATTTTTTGAGTAAGACCTGAAAATTTACTCAAATTTTGACTATTGGCTCCAAAAGTAGGGTTCATTTCCAAGAATATTGAAAAAAAATGCAGAATAATTTTGGCGAGAAAGTCTAGTGGTGAAAAGGTTGATAGTGATTGGTTCAAACATCTCCCAATTGTCCATACCCATAATGCATGCCAAAAAATTCATGTGACATAACAACTGCAACCATTTATTCAAAATGAAGTGCTTGTTGATTGGACGGAGTTGAACCAACTCATTAATAATTAATATATATTAAATCGAACGTACAATGATGTTACAATGCTATTTCTGGATTAGTCAATTTGATTTCTAACAGCCATTTTGATTTATAAAAATTTATATTTATAAAATGTTTATAGTGATAATAATAACTTTATTACTCAACAAGTACCATCTGAAGGTACAGTATAGTCATGTCAAAACAAACAATATATAATAAGAAATTATTAAAAAAGAAAATATAAATATATATATTATATTTTTTAAATATTTGGCCAATGCAATATTACAATTACATGATATTTAAGTTATTTAGTCTTTCCTTTTTCTGATTTGTTTTAATATCACATTCTCTAAATTTCCTTTCCTCCTCATATAATTCACAACTTAGGATGAAGTGAATTTCATTCCTGACTATTTTTTCATTGCATTCTTTACTTCTTTTACCTAATTCAATTTTCAAATTATTCTCACTGATTCTAAACTTTGTCATAATTCTCCTCATGTTGTATTCTTTTATTTTATTTATTTATTTTTTAATTCCAAAGTTTTTGAATAATTGGTATGTTTTTAATTTCTTTCCCTCATTTTGATTATTTCAACAAATTTTTAATTGTTTCTTCCAGGACTGTATATATTCATTTGTTAATTTATGTTCCATAATTTTTGAATATTGATTAATATTTGTTCAAATTCAAATTTCCCCCTGAGATTATCAATATTTTTTTGTGCCAGCTTGCATTTTTTATAATGTCCTCAGGTTTATGCCCTCCACTGTATGTCTGTTGAGTAAAGAATTAACATGATGATAATAATTATATAATTTACATAAATTGTAGAAATGTGGTGGAACATTTATTTGCATAAATGTTGTGCTAGATTGCAGCAAAGTACAAGCGTAAACGATTCATATAAGTGCATTTAACCATTCAAACTATATTTCACATTCAGGAATAAATCGGGACTGCCAGGAACATTGAACGATGTTTTTCTTTCCCGTTCATTTTTCACATTTGATGATGGATCAAGATTTCCAGGAACCCGTTGATGATGCCGACAATTTATTTTTCCCATTTATTTCGAATATTTTGTTGATTTTGACAAAGTACAAAAATTTAAAGAGCGGTGGTCGTCGTGCTACATTCTGTTCAATATAGAATTCACATACACAACACATGTAAAATACATGTTTGTTTACATGACGACCACCACCGTTTAACTCTAATCCTGCCAGCCCCACTTTAACATAATTTAACATTGATTAAAGATTGAACCTGGATGGCAAAAACAGTAGCAACATAAATTTTCATCTGTTGTCCTGACGAAAAAATCCAAGATAAATATCACTTATTTGG